TCTGGATTAATGTAGATGTAGACTTAGTGTCCACTGGCTGTTTTATTTGCTCACCAAATACCTTTAAATGAACATATCGTCAGCGTGCGCTGATTCAAATCACTGAATCATTTACGAATGACTCGGTTCAGATGATTCTGATTCTCAGTTTCTCTCTCTTCTTTCCAGTTCTTGAACGATGCACTTATTCACGATATAATAGGGAGCGAAATGATAGCAATAAAGTATTACAGCGTTATATTTAAGATTGATTGATTCATTAATTTTTCGTAACTTGTAAAAAACATATAAATTGATAGAACAGTTTGCATTGATTTAAAATACTTAAAACCCACAAACCTTTCTTCAGCCGAATCACAACAAAAGCTGGGAGCGAGTTAAGGCTAGAAGGGACGCCGCTTTATGACGTCACATTGCCAGAGCAAAATAAAAGTCTTGTTTACACACTGACGTCTGTTATATGCATATGATAATACATTTCCAGTTATTAGTATCGTAAATCTAGAAATTCATATATTTTCTTTTTTTAATTAATGTACATTTACAACACTAAACATTGTTTTTTCTTACCTTGCCATTAAATTACATAAAACTATTTAACGCTGCTGTGTAAGTGTTTCTATACAAAGGCTGAGGGAGTGACTGCAAATTTGACATCTTTCACTCTTTTGACTAATCAATCTCTTGTTATTTATTTACCTTTTTTTCCCTCTTTTGGAAAGTCATTGAAACACTACCATGGAATTTTTATTCTTTTGCTATTGTGGCAAATGAGAACACAAATATATTTGTTGCAGTTTCAATTCATCACTATAGAATTTTTTTTTAATGTATTATATAGAATTTATTATTACTATAGAATTTATTTACACTCTTATGATGACTTTCACTTCCGAGAGCCCCGGAAATGTGAAAAGGGTCTATACGCAGACAAGATAAAAAAGAAATAAAAAAAAAATCAACGTCAATGTCTGTTGCATGAAGTTTGTCAGTCACCTGCAGAGTTAAGAATTTGGGATGAAGGACGTCCTAAATACATACATTTTATTAGCCAGAAGGACCGTATCTGGCAGGATACTCCTCAATTTCTTCTTTACCCTTTCAAATTTAGGAAATAAAACCTCAGATGAACAACATCACATGACATACTTCAACGTGTCATTATTTATTTAGCAAAAATAAAGCCAAGATGGAAAAGCCACGTGTGACAAAGTTAGGACACCCTATGTTTCAACTGCCTATAGACCAATTATCGGTTTGTAAATATTCAGGATGCGCGCGCATCATGGTTGCAGACTGCCTATAGACCAATTATCGGTTTGTAAATATTCAGGATGTGCGCGCATCATGGTTGCAGAAAACCCGGGAGAGATAGCCTTTACGGCTAGAGAATTTCACGGATAGGGTACAAAATAGTTAAAAAGGCACAAAAATATGTTTTTCTTTTATTCCATGGATTTTACCCGTTTATCTCCACTTGTTCCCAGTGTTTTCCTGCAACCACTATGCGCGCGCAGCTGCAAGTGACGTAACTGTGACGTCTACTCCGAACTGGTCTATAGATCCACTTTTAGCAGCAATAACTTGAAGTAATCATTTTCAGTCTCTCAGATCATTCTGAAGGGATTCCGTCCCACTCTTCTTTACAACGTTGCTCCAGTTTATTGAGGTTTGTGGATATTTGTTTATGCACAGCTCTCACCACAGCATTTCAGTCAGGATGAGCTCCGGACTTTGACTGGCCTTTTGCAACACCTTGGTTCTTTTCTTTTCAGCTGTTCTGTTGTAGATTTACTGGTGTGCTTGGGATCACTGTCCTGTTGCATGATCCAATTTTGGCCCAACTTTAGCTGTCGTGCAGATGGCCTGACATTTGACTCTAGAATACTTTGGTATACAGAGGAGCTCACGGTCGACTCAGTGACTGTGAGGTGCCTCAGGGCCTGTGGCTACAAAACAAGCCTAAAATCATCAGCCCTCCACCAGCATGAAGAACTGCATGAACCAGCATAAAGAATCATTTTTTTCTGATATCTTTGTGGAATTTATCAGAGAGAATTTAATGATTCCATAATCAGTTTCTTGTCGTCCATGTTTGATGATTAATATTCATGACCAGGGCTTGACATTAACACCTGCCAACCCACCAAATGTGGGTGGATTTCAGAAGTGGCGGCCCTGCAAACATGTCCTTGTGGGTCCCATGCTGGCTTTTTGCGTGCACAGTGGGCTAGGGCCAGCCCACACCAAACCTAAACAGGCCCAGTGCAGGCTTGTCCAGGCGAGGCCCACAGCTTTGGGCTCACCGCAGGCTCTCTGTGAGCAGGCCACACTAGCGGACTGTCCACATTAATCCAATGATGGCCCAATGTGGGTCAGCCCGTTCGGGCCAGAGAAACTTTTGTACCTTTGGGCCCATGCAGGTTTTGTGTAGGCAGCCCTGCAATGCAACTAGGAGAATACAAACAACATTGACTGGCCATTCTTTAGCCACTCAATTGAACTGGAATGGCTCAAACCAAAAGAGACCTTTTCAGAACCTGTTGTATCATATAGGCCATGGATCCTCAAATCTGGCTCACGAGATCCACTTTCCTGCAGAGTTCAGTTCTAACCTTAATCAAACACACCTGAGCATGTCTCCAGGATCATTAGAAAATCACAGGTGGGTGAGCTTGATCAAAGTTGGAGCTAAACTCTGCAGGAAAGTGGATCTCACGAGCCATATTTGAGGTGGAATAGACATGAGCCTGTTAATAAGAATTGCGTGGGCAGTTTTCTTCCTTACCACTAGGGATGCTAGGGTGTTTTAGGTTTCCTTAAGTAAAGCCATGTGGTAGAGAGAGTTAGCAATAGCAAGCAGCAGTAGCCAGCATGGCTCACCTGCTGAACAAAGTGTCTGTGTTCGAAATGGCATGCTCAACGAGTATTGATGACACAATGATTATATTTTATTATGAAAACCCCAAATTGTTGTTTTTTTGAATATGTTGTTAATTTCCTTTTTATATGCAAATGTTTTCGTCCACAAGCAAAACCGACTTAAATCCTGTTTTCCTCTTTTTTCTTGTAACTCCGTTTCATCCCTCACGCTTATAAATAGCAACAACAACAAATGCAATATTTTGATGCATTATGATTATATGAATATTATGATTATTCAAAGATATTTACCTTTAATAATTGTGCCTTTTTTTTCTGTATATAATCTCATACTATGGTGTACGCAAAGCCATTATAGTTATGTTTTCTATTATGATTGTTCGTTGTTAAAGATACAACCATATTTCCCTGAGCTTGTATGTAATTAAAAGTTCTGCAGTAATAATAATGAAAAGAAGATAAGAGAGGTGCACTAACACCTCATAGCATCAGTAACATGGCAACCCTAACTAGTACAGTTTTCCTCAATATCTGCACAAAAGGAACGTCGATCAGCTGCTCGAAGATCTCGTCTGTGGAGACGACTGTTGATTTTATACTGGAAAAATTTAAGAATTACTAAAAATAATAAAATTAATAATTAGATTACCCCAGAATGCATTGCTAGCCCACCCCAACACTTACAATAATTATGATAAATGCTGACCATTAATTAATTTTATATATAATTTTAGTAAAACAAGCAAAATGTAATTAGTTTTGTCATATGCCAGAGCTATGCATGAATACACACTAGACAAATGCAGCCAAAGTGAATACTTCACAATTTTCAGTCAAGTAATGAACAAGTTAATGAAACAATTATATTTTATTTACTGACGACAACAACAGGAAATATGAATATATGAGTAAAAGAATAAAAGTAACCATGACAATAAATAAATACAAGTCATCGACACATGAAACAAAGCTTTATTCAAACATTGTTCTAACAATCATGTATTTACAGACGGTGAGCCCACATCTACTGCATCTCAACACAGCGGAGACAGTTCTGCAGCTGACCACCGTGTCCACCTTCAGCTGTCTCTGTCATCCATCACGACCCTCACTGCTGCAGTCAGACTGAATCTGATCATGGATGAGAAAGGGACATCGAGGCTGTCTTTGTCTGAGTGCACGGAGAGGATGAGGAAGACCATGATGATGCTCCTGAAACACACAACCCTGAACATGTGCGGGACAATCTGACTGCTGCTGTCTGCTCCAAACATCTGTGTGCTGCTCTCCATGAGCACGACTAGCTGTAACACATTTACACAGAGTAAAACATTTTACAATTCATGTTGTCAGCATTTCATTTCATATGTTTACAATTACATGCTAATTTTTGATATAGCTTCATTACTTCTGTGGTGTAGTGAGCTGGGCAGCAGAAGGTTGCTGGTTCGATCTCTGCAGTCGTCACCACCGCTGGCTTTACTCCGGGTGGCTGCTGAGGGATTGGGGTCCCTGTAATAAGAGCACTGTCGGATAAAAGTGTGACAAATGCAGAAATGTAAATGTGATTTTTGTAAATGCTTTTTTGTGTCTTGGGCACAAACACTCAATAAAGCTGCTTATTTCTTCAAGTTTATTTCTTCACGGTACTACTATAATATAAATGCATGCATATATTTCATACAATTTCTATTTGGAGGGTTTAAAGGGTTAGTTCATCCAAACATATAAATTCAGTCATTATTTACTTGCCTCAACGCTGTTCAATCCTTGTGGTTTTTTCTGAACACAAAAGGTGATTTTGGTTAAGTTTGTTCTGCTGGTTTGTGTTCATACAGTATCAGTGAATGGAGCCTGACTTTCAGAAGCTTCATGACTTTATTTGATTATGCTTTTGAAGTGTGGGCTCCATTGACTGATGTTGTATGAACAAGCCAGCAGGACAAACTTGACCAAACTCACATCCTCAGTGTCTTTTGGTTTTTCTCTAGATGCTCTCGCTGGCTCTGGGGTCACTGAGGATGAAGAGACCACAGCAACATCTGGTCCAGATGAGGCAGTAAGAGGTGGAGTGATAGAGCGTCTCATCCATGACACTGGACCATTTCCAGGATGCTGCTGTGGACTCCTCCATCCTCACAGCTCACACCAGTCTGCAGACATTTCAGATCCTGCAAAAATGCACAAACACAATACACAAGCAGTCATTTTAACATAATGATTTTGTTTCAGGTTTTCCCTTTTTTTCACAAACGCCGCCATCACCTGCTCCACAAAAGCTCTGCAGCAAATGCACAGAAATCAAGAATCTGAAAAGTGCTGTAATAACTCTGTTTGAAATTACAATCAATTAAAATAAACTACAACTTAAGATTTAAAAGATGTTTTGTTCATTACTATAGTGTACTCACTCAAAGCATTCAGCATTGCTTCATCAGTCACTCCGCAGCGGATAAACACACGTGTGTCTCTTCTGTTCCTGTAACATCCAGACAAGAGTCAAGTTTCCTCAGTGATTTATCTGCTCAATACTGCAGTTACATGTTGAGGTAGTTGCTGATGTGTTAACTCACTTTTTATCCAACACAAATGCTCCTCAATTTATCAGTAGTACTAATGAACAAATAAAACAGATAACTCATGTTTAGTTACTTTATATAGATATGTTTATTTACATTACTGACATTTATCTAATGTAAGCAGTGTTGACCGTGAATTCTACATAATAGCACACATACATCACTCCGATGTCTATTTCATGTTGTGATGTGCACATCTGCAATACTTATCAAAGATTTTCCTGTCACATATTAAATAAATATTTAGTAATCGTCTTTAAGATGTATGGATCCCATAAGAACAGCAGAACAGAACAGCATACGCTGCTTACGTTCAGTGGATACTCTCCAACATGGCGCTAGGGTGACGCGGAGGAGATTTGAATATGACAATTTGAATAAAGTTTTTTTTTTTCTTTTGCGTACAAAAAAGTATTCTCGTAGCTTCGTAAAATTACAGGTGAACCCCTGATGTCACATGTATTATTTTACCGATCTCCTTTCTACGTTTCTGGACCTTGATCGTGTACGGACCCTTGCTGTCTATAGCCCGATTCGGACGGTAATTGTTTCTCATATGGACGTCTTTAAAAATAAATTTGCCTATTACCTATGGATTCGGATGGATAAACTCATGGATTCAGATGGCGATCTATTAACAGTGGATGAGCGAGTTCTGTGATCATACGAACCCAAGAACGCGCTGCTCACGTGACCAGTCACATGATTGTTTGCTGTAAAAAATTTATTTTATTTAGATTTATTATTATTGTGTAAAATGTATTTAAAAATACTTCTGTAAAATGTATTCTTATTATTCCAAGCATATTTTATAATATATAATCCTATTTATTATTTGATTATTTAAATCTCCTGTTTAAAAATAGGAAAACAGACGCCTATAGTTGTATATAATTATACGCGATATATGTTTATAATAATACATTATTTTTAAAATTGTATTGCATACCTGCTGCTGCCATAATAAAGACCCATTTCGAATGTTTACATGCTGTGGTGGAGCAGTTATGAAGTATTGTTCTTTTAAATACTTTCCAGCATTTCAAAAATAAATATGGATGCAAATTACACCGAAGTGCAACGTTACCTTATGGTGTTTGGGAGTGCTCAAAAAGGGTTTAAACACTGAATTTTGAATTGATTTCTTCTCATAAACTCAGAGATGTGGATTCGGACGGCAATTAAATTACCACGCGACCTTGGTGTTTGTCAAAAAACAGTAGGTAATTCAGCCATATATAATATAGCAGATTATATTATATACAGTATATAATCAACAGTCGTCTCCACAGACGAGATCTTTGAGCAGCTGATCGACGTTCCTTTTGTGCAGATATTGAGGAAAACTGTACTAGGTAGGGTTGCCATGTTACTGATGCTATGAGGTGTTAGTGCACCTCCCTTATCTTCTTTTTATTATTATTACTGCAGAACTTTTAATTACATACAAGCTCAACGAAAGATGGTTGTATCTTTAACAATGAACAATCATAATAGAAAACATAACTATAATGGGTTTGCGTACATTATAGTATGAGATTATACACAGAAGAAAAAAGCCTCAATATATTTGAATAAACATAATATTCGTATAATCATAATGCATCAAAAAACTGCATTTGTTGTTGTTATTTATAAGCCTGAGGGATAAGAGCTAAATTAAACAAGAAAAAGAGGAAAACAAAAGAGATTTAAGCCAGTTTTGCACGTGGATGAACTATTTTGCACATAAAATAAAGAAATTAATAACATATTCAAGAGGTAATGATTTTGGGTTATCGTAATAAAAAAATAATACATTTAAAGATTAAACTGTGGGTCATATTAGTAGAGTTAAAAATATAAAAACTTAAATCAACACAAAATGGATTGGTTATACTACAATCACAATAAAAGTGCAGCTGTTTCTCCAACAAGACCACAAAATGAGCAAATTTTATCAACATCAAATTATGTACAGATAGATGAATTAAACCGGTCGCTCATATCTTTTAAGTTGTTGCGCTTGTTATGTTGTAGGTCACATGATAACTTCAACATGACGGATGATGTCGGGATCGCATTCATACTCAACGTTTAAATCAGCCAAAAGACTTGAGGACATTGCTAGGAACAGTGTGTTTGAACCCTGAAATACAGGACAAGGCTGGTGGCCAGTGTTACCATTTCGGAGTGCTGAATTCAATTACACGTAGGGTTGCACGATAAATCGAAATGGAATCGCGATTCGACAGAAGCTGGGATTGTCATGCGTATCTTTCAGTGAAGCACGGTTCTGTGATCAGCAGTAAATCTCCATCCAAAGGCCAGAGAAACTCCAAATACGCCTCGCAGAAGAAACCCAGGAAATGCCTATCGCTGCAGCTGAATAAACAGAAGAGTCAACGTGACTAATAAACACAGGACTACGGCAATATACGGCTTATCTGAGTTATTATTATTATAATTTTCATTAAAGTATAGTTATAATGCAATGCCTTTATCACTGCTTAAATACTATGAAATATGTTGCGTGCCTTATTCTGTGTAAGAAGCCACATCTCACAGAAGGATTTATTTCAAACACTCGACTGACGTTATGAAGCGAGTTTGGAGTAAAAACATGTTATTAAATGTGGTATTTTCACATGCTTTCAGATGGAGCAGCATTTACTTCACAGAGCCGTAGTTCACTGAGAAGCTATGCAAACAGCTGTCATTATTGCAGTGCGATTTCTTCGATTTCATAATCGTGCAATAAAATCGTCTGTGATTTTTTTTGCGTAACTTGTCAGAGAACTACGGTTATGTGTAGTAAATGCTGCTCCATCTGAAAGCACGTGATGATGATTTTCTGCTGATTACAGAACCGGCTTTACTAACAAAATGCGCATAACAATCGCATTCGATTAATCGTGCAGCCCTAATTACACGGATGTGAAAAATGCACACAGGATGGTGTGTACCTAGAAAACAGAATGACATTTCCAAGAAACAACACGCCTTTAACAACAAATGAGAGTTTTGAAAACAAGACAGATTCTGATCATTCTGCAGCTTTCAGCCAAACCTGAACTAGCAATTATATAGAGATTCACAAGGTTTTTAAAGCGTTTATGAACAAATTAGGCAAATGATTCACTGAGCAATTCATAATAACAGTAATTTGCTTCATTTCTAAATGAATCAGCGGTTTTGAACGGATCAGTTGAAGGATTCACTGACTCAATCATTATATTAGCACAATACTTTAGGGTATCATGATACTACTTTGTATCGTGATACTTCAGCTGGTATAGTGTCGCAAGACCTAACCCTAGTACACTGCAAAGCACTCCTACAACGAGTTTTCCAATGACGCTTCAGGTCTCTTTGATAGGTGAATCTCTCTTTACACTGAAGACACATGAAAGGTCTCTCTCCAGTGTGAACTCTCATGTGAGTCTGAAGGTTTCCTTTAGATGTGAAACTCTTTCCACACTGAGTGCAGGTGAAAGGTCTCTCTCCAGTGTGAATTCTCAGGTGAGTCTGAAGGTTTCCTTTAAGTGTAAAATCCTTTCCACACTGATAGCACATGAAAGTCTTCTCTCCAGTGTGACTTATGACATGATTCTCAAGGTGTTTCCTGTCTGTAAAAGTCATTCCACACTGATGACATGTAAAAATGTTTTCTCTTGCGTGAAGCCTCATGTGCCGTTTAAAGTTTGTTTTGTGTCTCAAACTCTTTCCACACTTATCACATGTGAATGGCTTCTCTCCAGTGTGACTGTTCCAGTGATACCTGAGGTTAAGTTCTGTTGTGAAACTCTTTCCACACAGTTTGCAGATGTACGGCTTCTCTCCAGTGTGAATTCTCACATGCCTTTTAAAGCTTCCATGATGAGTGAAACCTTTTCCACACTGACGGCAGGTGTGTGGCTTCTCTCCAGTGTGGATGCTCATGTGCCTTTTAAAGCTTCCATGATGAGTGAAACCTTTTCCACACTGAGGGCATGTGTATGGCTTCTCTCCATTGTGAATTCTCATGTGCCTTTTAAAGCTTCCATCATGAGTGAAACCTTTACCACACTGACGGCAGGTGTATGGCTTCTCTCCAGTGTGGATGCTCATGTGGCTTTTTAGGCTTTCTTTTTTTCTGAAACTCCTTCCACACTGCTGGCAGGAGAAGTCACTTATAGTTTCTGTTTTTTTAGCTCTTTTTCGTGCGGAAGTCTTTTCAGTCTGTGAGCAACTAAATGATTTTTCTCCAGTTGTGAAATCATGATGGTCTTTCTCTTGCGTTTCATTCAATTCTTGACTCTCCTCTTTCATCGCCATCAGGTCTGAGGTGAAAAGAGACACATACAAGTTAACAATGGCACAAAACAAAAGACATCAAACATTTAGTCATGTATACAGAATCAAATACCCACTAAGCTCAGAACCTCTTCACCATATTGTTTAGTCTTTAAATTGTTATCAGTCAGGATTTAAGCCTCATTGTTTATGCTTAATAAATTTAGAAACAAAAAACTTTCTACAAGTGCTATTAGATTTTTCAACAACTCAGGCGGTGGTGCCCGCTCAGGAACCCCGAGGTGGTGGTGCCCGCTCATAAGGTTCCTAAGGCGGCGGTTCCCGCTGACAGTCTTCCCGAGGCGGCGGTGCCCACTCACAAGGTTCGTAAGGCGGTGGTTCCCGCTGACAGTCTTCCCAAGGCGGCGGTGTCCGCTCACAATCCTCCCGAGGCGGCGGTGCCTGCTCACAGTTCTCCCGAGGCGGCGGTGCCCGCTCACAAGGTTCCTAAGGCGGCGGTTCCTGCTCACAGTTCCCCCGAGGCGGCGGTGGCGGCTCACAATTCTCCCGAGGTGGCGATGCCCGCTCACAATCCTCCTGAGGCGGCGGTGCCCGCTCACAGTTTCCCCGAGGCGGCGGTGCCCGCTCACAGTTCTCCCGAGGTGGCGGTGCCCGCTCACAAGGCTCCCGAGGCGGCAGTTCCCGCTCATAAGACTTCTGAGGTGGCGGTGGCCCCTCACTATGTTCCCGTCCCTGAACTCTTTGACTGCCCAATCCCAGCCAAGGTGGCCATTAAGACAATTGTTTTTAGTTATTTAGTTCAGTTTATCCTGAACCCCCCTGGTCTGTCCCACCCGCACCACCCTGGCTGTCCGGCGGGGGTCAATATAGGTGGGAGCTCCCCTGGTGCAACCCTCCCACTCCCCCCATGTCATCTGCCAAGATTCCTGGGCCTCCCGGTGTCCAGGAGGCGTCCCTTTTGGGGAGGGGTACTGTCGGGGTCCTGTCACAGCGATCTGGATTATTTGGTAATTTGGTGACAGGGCTCTGACAGTCCGTGTCCTGTTTGTGTGAGGGGGCGCGGTTTCGTGCTCACT